ATTTATGTTTTATGAGAAGAATTCTGTTACCGATTATTTAAAAGAACGCACACAAAACCATGATGATCTCTAATGGTTCTTGTACCCTGGGCCTAGATAATCTGGAAGATAGAGGAGAACAGCCCCTGGCAGCTGGCCCAAAGCATCCCCTTTCCACTCAGGAATGGGTAAGTAAAGCAGGGCTGCGCTCCTTCCCACAGGCTGATAACCCTCCCATGGTTCACTCACAGGGGCAATGGCACCTGCTGTATGCGAGGTGTATGGAGCCAGGGTAGGAAATGAGGTCTTGCTCTGCCTGTTGCCTTCCATTCACAAAGTGATTTCCCCAGTATCGCCAGCCACCCTCCCTCCAAAGAGTGTGAAGAAGCCACTGAGACGGAGAGGGCCATCTGCTCTAGATGGTGGAAACTGCGCTAGCAACCGCTATCCTCCTGTAGCACATGGCCTCAGCTAGTCTCCCTCAGAATTTAGGTGAAGTAGACACTGAAGTCCCGCCCCTGGCAGGGCAACAGATGTTGCTTTAGGGAGTAAAGGACCTGATTCACCACGTGCATCCCTGTGTTATCCAGAGAGGAATGGCTCTTTCCTGGTGTGACCAACATGTGATGGCTTAAGATCATCACTTATCAGCTCATCTAGGAAAGAACAGCTTCAGCATAAAGGTATCGAGGTACAAGGTGGAACAGAGTGTGATGGCAGAGGCTGAGTTGTGGAGGCCTGGCCACCCTGGCCCTATTTCATGTACTGACCCACTTTCCTCACGTGAACCTGGTGGCCCAGATTGAAAGCTCGAGGGCTTTTTGGCCCTTTGGACTTAGGGCTGTTAACTGAAATTCCTATTGGTTTTAATTTGAGGGCTGGTGTTTCCTCCCAAGTTACAGAGACTTCAAATTCCCATCTCCCTCTACAGCATCTCTGGCACTATTCTCATTTTACATATCCGGATGGAGGAAGCACTGGATTTCACACCTAATTAAAAGAGAGTGTATTGCCTGCTGTTTCCTTTCTTGTTCATTTTCCCTTGTGCACTGGCTGCTTTTTATTCTCATGCTAAGTCCTATCCCGGACCCCCGCAGCTTAAGGGACAGAGCAGCTGGGTTCCTACAAAACAGAGAGCTGGGCCCTCTGTCACCTATTTCAGCACAAGCAGGCGTTCCCTTTTGTGTTCACTCCTGTTTCAGCCCCGTCCATACTGTGCTCACCCAAGGAACATAGTAACTTAGAATGCATGATCACTTTCAGAGTAGAATTCCTCACATGTTTCTAGTGAATGCCATCACAGGCTGCCTCTGTATGCGTACTCCAGTGAAAAGGAGACAGGTTAGTATTTTAAAACACTCAAGAACTATTTTTATTCACTTTTTTTCACTGCCATCATTTCTGTGTTCATACCACTGTGGGGGTTTTAGGTGGGGTGGCCTTCCCAACTACGCATCATCTTTGTAAAGTTGTATGGTTTTGTAGAGTGAGAGATTTTTTTCCTTTTTTCTTTTTCTTTTTCTTTTTTCTTTCTTTTTTTTTTTTGAATAGCCCAAATGCCTATTCAGTGCCAATCTAGGAAAGAATGGAGTCAGCATTTTCACACCATTCCTCCCTATACAGTCCCTGAATAATCATCTAATCAAGATTTGTTTTCAATGGGGACAAATCTTCTACAGTAGAGTATTTCAGATTTATTCCATTAGAATCTATACATTATTTTGCCCATTGGATGAAAAGGACATGTTTCACAAAAGCCTGGACATTGCTTTGCTGTGGCAGAAACTTTTTCCCACTGTACTAATGTTAAAAAATAAAAGAAAGCCTGGGAAAGGAATTGCTTCAGCATTGTGTGCTGGAGGAACGAGACGCGCTTGAATGGAGAGGCAGAGTCCCCCATCGCATCTGTTCCCATTTCAGCAAACCCACTCAGCCCTTCATGGCTGCTCACTGCCATGCAGGACTGTGCACTCGAGAGATGTTTAGAAAGGTTTTCTGTAAAAACCCAAAGAGGCTTGTCAGGTTGTATATGAGTGCAGGTTTGAGTTTGTCTCTGTGGTTTTTAATGAAGTTGGTGACACCATTATTGCAATAATCAGAACTCAGACCATTTAACAGATATTGTGTGTGTGTGATCACCTCTACAGTGTTACCTGATTGTTTAGATAGACTCAACCACTAAAGCCAAACAAGCAATTTGAATTTTCCTCATGAGACTCTGTGTGTGTGTGTGTGTGATATAATGATAGTTTTTGCTGTTAACCATTTCCATCTCTAACATAACCTTCTTCATCCCTTTCAGTGTCTGTTTCTTCTTCTTTGTACTGAGAACTACGACAGCCCTTGATCTTTGGGCAATCCAAGTTTTTAATATAGCAATGGGCCAGGCTGCCCACAGCCTCCATGTAGCTGACTGTTGCATTCTACTGGGAGCTGTTCGATACTTCCCTCAGAGATAGTGATTTTATCAGAGACTCAACTAGTTTTAGTGGTTATGGTTTTACTTAAATGAAAGAGACCTTGGTGATGTTAACATTGTATTTAGAAAACTCTACATATTAGTGCCAAGACAAGTTGTTTCACCTCTTGCATTTTTCCATTTATAAACTTAAATATATGTTCTTTATTAGATAACTGAGACTCTGTTGGAGTCCCAAGATTTCAACAAAGATGAATGTCATGCTAATTCATGGACATGTATAGAAGTAGCTGGAGGGCATGCTAGACAAACCTTTTCACACAGCTTTACAGCAGCAGTGGATATCAAAGGGCCAGACTTCATTCAGGGGCAAAGCATGAAAAAATAGTTAAGGAGATAAGAGTATGAACTCTAGAACCAGACTGCCTGGACTCAAATCCAGCTCTACCACCAACTGCCTGTTTGACCTTGAGCAAATTTCTATTTTTTCTGTTTTGTTCATTTTTACAAACCCTTGTGTCAAGGGCTGACTTTCAGTAGATCGCAGCAAGGGAGCTGCTCTGCTACGTACAAAACCCTGACCCAGAAGCAGGTCTTCTACAAATGGTTTAGCACCAGTTGAGCAAATTTCTTAATTTCTCTGGCCTGCTTTCATCATCTGAAAAATGGAACTAATAATATTACCTACATCATAGGGTTGTTCTGAAGATTAAATAAAATAATATACATATAGTAGTTAGACCAGTAGATAGGATTTGCCACAAGGTAAGCTCTACTGGTTAAAAAAAAAAAAGTAAATAAAAGTTTGCTCTTATTATCATGCTACAAATACATAGGGGGGTCTCAGAAAGAGCATGGAGTTTGGTCTGCTGATTTTTCTCCTTAATATTCCTTCCTGGGTTATTGGGGCCTCCCTCTGGGGCCATATTTTGTATTAACACAATTATAGAGGATTCACCATGATTTTTTAATCTGGCAAAGAAAATTTGTTTGACATGAGTGAAAAAAAATAATAACAGTATCCTAATGAACTATTTTAGGAAAGAACTTTAGGAAGTTGAAACAGAAGCAATTCTCTTCTCTAAAAACTTGTGCAAGTCATATCACTTAGAGTGAACAAAGAGCCTGTAGGCATTTATTATATTAAGTGGATATGGGTGAAGCTGACTAAATGTAAAAATGGGAACCAAAAAAATGAATGGCTATATAAAAAGATGTGGTCCCACGACTGAGCGAGGACAACGTGAGGAGATTGAGTAAAGCAACATAGAACCTCTAGCTGAGTTCAGACTTCCCTGTGCAAGTTCTCTCTCCTAAGGCAGAGGGGAAAGACCCCAAGGAGCTGTCTGCAGGCCATTACCTCTGGGGTTCTGTCCAACAAGACAAAGGGAGCTGGGTAACAGGCCTACAGTCAGTAGTACTTGCGCCACCTGGTTTTGAAAGCCCACCTACATGGTCTCCCTCTCTCAAGCTGTCTATTCAGTCAGGAAGCAAGAATGGGGAATCTGACTGAAGAGTGGTTTAGAGAGAGGGATTCTTTAGAGCCATTTGAGAGGTGAGAGAAAAAGAAGGAAGCCCTAAGACTGATCGTTATAGCCACCTGTTTTCTTTCTCAATCTGTGACGCAAATGTCACTAACATTATTCCTCACCTGCACAGCCTGGGGCATAAAGATGGTGATGAGTCAGGCTGTCCACTGCCTCTGCAGAGCTGACCATTGCCTTCCGACCAAGAGTGTTTGGTATTTCCCTCTAGCAAGTACATGGAGCACCCAGTTACCTAGGGTGTTCAGACATCCCACTCCTGGTTTAGTCCTGCTGTCCCAACTTATTAACAGTGTTCCTTTCACTCTCACAGTGCCCAGTTGGAATGTAAATATGATCAGTATGCCAGTCTCCCAGATCAATGTTGCCATCTCTGACCTTTTCAACATTCCTTCCTCATTAAGCCTCCAAAAATTCAGAAAACCATCACATGGTATACAGCCAGCCTAGAAAGTTCTGACTGTCAGAGATGACAAGAAAAATGTCATCGGTAGAATGTTCTGTAGATACAGAAAGCAAATGCCCCTGCAGCTGGCAGGTTGCATTCTATAACTCATCCCTCTCTTGGAAAATGTGGTAGCAGCTGTTGGGTGAACATCTTAGTCTGGGTTGACTTTTCCAAGAATCTTTGTATACATGGTGTGGGTTTGGGGAATATGCCACATAAATTAACAGCAAGGACATTTATTTTTTTACTATGACTATTATTGTAGTTTTTGAATAAAATAAGGAACTTTGATAAGTTGGGGAAAATATAAGCTTTCCCAAAGGACATGGACTTAGGCTTGTCCAACGTAGTACTGTTCCTTGAGAATAAGTCTTCCAGTTCTTAGTTTGATTCAATACCCCAAAATAGCTGGGACACTGTTGGGACACAATTCAAGGACTTCTTCCCATAGGACATCATACCTGAAGCGTGACCTCTGTGCAAATCCTGTCCATCTCCCACAGAGCCCTTTTGTGTCTGCCAAGGGGGTGCTTCTAGGAGCCACGAGCATTTCCCACCTGAGCAGCTAGCTCTGACCCACGCTCTGTTTTGTGTCTGTCTTGCCGCGCAGGTGACATCAGTTGCAAGGGGATGACCGAGCGCATTCACAGCATCAACCTTCACAACTTCAGCAATTCCGTGCTCGAGACCCTCAACGAGCAGCGCAACCGTGGCCACTTCTGTGACGTGACGGTGCGCATCCACGGGAGCATGCTGCGCGCACACCGCTGCGTGCTGGCCGCCGGCAGCCCCTTCTTCCAGGACAAGCTGCTGCTGGGCTACAGCGACATCGAGATCCCGTCCGTGGTGTCGGTGCAGTCGGTGCAAAAGCTCATTGACTTCATGTACAGCGGCGTGCTGCGCGTCTCGCAGTCAGAAGCCCTGCAGATCCTCACGGCCGCCAGCATCCTGCAGATCAAAACAGTCATCGATGAGTGCACGCGCATCGTGTCCCAGAATGTGGGCGATGTGTTCCCGGGGATCCAGGACTCAGGCCAGGACACACCGCGGGGCACGCCTGAGTCAGGCACATCGGGTCAGAGCAGCGACACGGAGTCTGGCTACCTGCAGAGCCACTCTCAGCACAGCGTGGACAGGATCTACTCGGCGCTCTACGCGTGCTCCATGCAGAACGGCAGCGGCGAGCGCTCCTTCTACAGCGGCGCGGTGGTCAGCCACCACGAGACCGCGCTCGGCCTGCCCCGCGACCACCACATGGAAGACCCCAGCTGGATCACACGCATCCATGAGCGCTCGCAGCAGATGGAGCGCTACCTGTCCACCACCCCCGAGACCACGCACTGCCGCAAGCAGCCCCGGCCCGTGCGCATCCAGACCCTGGTCGGCAATATCCACATCAAGCAAGAGATGGAGGACGATTACGACTACTATGGGCAGCAAAGGGTGCAGATCCTGGAACGCAATGAGTCCGAGGAATGCACGGAAGACACTGACCAGGCCGAGGGCACCGAGAGTGAGCCCAAGGGTGAAAGCTTCGACTCGGGCGTCAGCTCCTCCATAGGCACCGAGCCCGACTCCGTGGAGCAGCAGTTCGGGCCTGGGGTGGCCCGGGATGGCCAGGCTGAGCCCGCCCAACCTGAGCAGGCTTCGGAAGCCGCTGCAGAGGGCAGTGCGCAGCCACACCAGCTAGAGACAGGCGCCTCCTCTCCAGAAAGAAGCAATGAGGCGGAGATGGACAACACTGTCATCACTGTCAGCAACAGCTCCGACAAGAGCGTCCTGCAGCAGCCTTCGGTCAACACGTCCATCGGGCAGCCATTGCCAGGTACCCAGCTCTACTTACGCCAGACAGAAACCCTCACCAGCAACTTGAGGATGCCTCTGACCTTGACCAGCAACACACAGGTCATTGGCACAGCCGGCAACACCTACCTGCCGGCCCTCTTCACTACCCAGCCCGCAGGCAGCGGCCCCAAGCCTTTCCTCTTCAGCCTGCCACAACCCTTGACAGGTCAGCAGACCCAGTTTGTGACAGTGTCCCAGCCCGGCCTGTCCACCTTTACTGCACAGCTGCCAGCGCCACAGCCCCTGGCCCCATCTGCAGGCCACAGCACAGCCAGTGGGCAGGGCGAAAAAAAGCCTTACGAGTGCACTCTCTGCAACAAGACTTTCACCGCCAAACAGAACTACGTCAAGCACATGTTTGTCCACACAGGTGAGTGCAGGCCCCCGGAAATCTGGCAGTGGGTGGGTGTGAGGGGACAGTGGGAAGGGAGGGGCAGGACAGCAGGTAGAAGGGAAGGTTTGGAGTCACATTTCAGATTTTTAAGGAGACGCCACTATAAGCCATCCTTTAGAAGTCCCAACTGTGCCCCCATCATAGAAACAAAGCATCCTGCCACCAAAAGACAAACTCACAGAAACCCTTTCAGAGAAAGGCCAAATGGGGAAAAGCCTGATAAAGAATTTACAGGCACAACATCCTTTAAATACATTGAACTTTGACTCAAGATGCTTATAACTGGAAAAGTCCTTGGAGATCCTATACTGCAATAACCTCATTTTACAGACAAAAGTCATTAGGTAGAGCAGGAATGAGGGTTTTAGTCTGCAGTAAGTTCTATATGAACCATTAGCTTGAAGAGGCCACAGCAAGGTTGATGCAAGCTTAAGCTGCATTTGTGGTCCCTGAAATGAAGAGGAGTGATAGACTCACTCTATTTTCTATTGCTTATTCTCCATTTCAACATCTAGAGACCACAGTCTGTTCTGGGTACTACCTTTTAAAAGAACAATAGACTAATTCAGAGGAGTGTGACTAGGGACGCAAAGCCTTAGCATATGAATCACAGTTGAAGGGCCTGGGATGCTCAGACTGCAGAAAAGACTCAGAGCATCATATAAGCCATCCTCAGTCCAGCTTCAGGGACAGCATAATGTAGTAGTTAAGCTGGAACTCTGGAGCCAGATTGCTTCGGTTTGAATTTAGATTTAGTGTCTACTGAACTTTGTCACCCTGGGAAAATTACTTAACCTTTCTATACTCCGGTGTCCTTGACAATATAATGGCAACAGTAGTGATAGATCTTTAATTTAGTGCTGTTTTTAGGATTAAATGAATTAATCTGTAATGAAGTTATTAAAAATAATTCCTAACACATAAGCACTCTGTAAGTGATAGCTATTGTTAGCACTATTAAGTTTATGTAAATGATTGGGAGGGAAGAAAGAGTAAGCTTGTTTTGTTTGGGGCCAAAGGTAGAACTGGACCAATGACTGGAAACAATAAGGAGATTCTTTCCACAAAATAAAATGACTGTTGACAGTCAGAGCCGCTCTAAGATGGGATAGACAGCCTCCAGAGGGAGTGAGTTCCTATAATTAGAGGTGTTCAAGGAGAGAATGAATGATCATTTTCTAAGGATGTTGTAGAAGCGGTTCAATCATCAGGTGAGTAGTTGGACAAGATGGTATTTCTTCCCTGGATTCTGATTCTAGAGCAGCGGTTCTCAACCTGTGGGTCGTGACCCCTTTGGGGGTCGAACGACCCTTTCACAAGGGTCGCCTAAGACCATCGGAAAACACATATATAATTACATATTGTTTTTGTGATTAATCACTATGCTTTAATTATGTTCAATTTGTAACAATGAAATTGGGGGTCACCACAACATGAGGAACTGTATTAAAGGGTCGCGACATTAGGAAGGTTGAGAACCACTGTTCTAGAGCTAAGATATGGCCTCCCAGCTAGTACTCTTTCCTAACTCCATAATGGGACAGACATAGAAGCAAGAACCACGAATATCTTTCATATTAGGGACCACATATGTGATAAGATTTCTCATAGAGTCTCTTATCCCTAAAAAATACCTTTTCCAACAATGATCACTATTTTTGAAATTCTGATTATGAGAGTCACTCTTCTGGTAAACCTCTGTTTCCAGAATATCCCTGTTAAATGACAAATACGTTGCCAGGGTAAAGTTACACGTTGAATTACATACAATACATGCAATCAAATTAGCTCCTCAAAGCAACCTTGTTTCTCAGATCCGCTAGCAAGAATAGCCAGAGCAACAGACACTGAGACAAGGTGCACAACAAGGAAGGGAGCAGCTACACTAGAACATTAAGGTGAACTTTTCCTTCTTTGCAGTTCAACTTAAGTCAGGACGTCATGTACGTACCTTTATGCAGATGAGTTGTTTTTAAAGGTGACAGTTTTCACACCTCTTAAAGAACATACTGATTCTCTGCTGAATTTAGGAAGAAAATCAGGTAGCGGTGAGTCATGATGTTTACTTGGGGTAAATGTGAATGCGCTAATAACCTGAGATCAACCAAGGAAATTTTTCATGTGGTATGGGTATCATCATTATTTGGTAAATTAACCAAATAGTAATATTTTTATTTATGTGGCAATTTATGGTTTACAGAGTACTCTCACATAGTTTATGTTCTTTCCTTCTCTAAATAGCTGTCTTATAAACCATAAAACTAAGGATTAAGGGCAAAAAGAAACCATTTGTGGAAGTTTCTTCTTAGCCAAACTTGACTTTTCTGGTCTTGAAAAAACATTTCTATTCTCCTGTGCATCTCTTCCAGTAGACCTAGCAGAGATGAAATTCACACATTCTAGTAGATAACATATTGAAATAAGGCTTTAAATTTGCAACATAAAATTTTCAGTGTACTACCAGAAATTGTCTTTTTGGTGCATAAACACATTTATCCAATGGATTCACCAGAGAATTCCGTGGTTAACCCAAATAATTAGATTTGCCCATAAGAAAACCAGCAATGGGTTTGCACATTTATGCATCATAGGTTCAAAAGCTATAAGTAAAAGCATTTTATAAATCTAAGTAATGCTTAAAGTGTAGCCTTTGGATATGTAGTAAATTATGAGAGTCCTCAGTAAATTATGAAGGTGTTTGGATTGGTGTGTATAGCTTGGCCACATCTGAGAACAATTAATAATGTACATATATCACTCTAGCACCTCATTTAAAAGAAACAACACTCTTCTCTTTCATCCCAGAATTATTTGGAATGTCAGTTTGGAAGGACCATCTATCTATCCAGACTTTGTCTCACTGAAGAGACCATAACCTAACTAACAAAGTTTAAGAATAAGTGGTCGAGATTTTCAAAAGGCAAGACAGTCTGGTCTATGGAAGTAATGCAGGACCTGGATTCCCTGTGGCCCACATTTTAAAACAAAGTTCTCTTAAATTTCTTGGGAAAACATCACAAAAGTGGGGCCTCTCAACTTCACAGAAGCCCAGTAGAAATGATAAAAATTTAGAGCAAAAAGTCCAAATGTTGGTCTAGAAAAACTCTAGGAAGTACTGGGGATACCTGGAAGAGTAGGAATGGATTTTGTGTTCTTACCTGTAGTCTAACGAAAAGAATCCTGCCAATAAAGATTATTAACAGAGCTCAACGAAAAGAAATGTGGATCCTTGGCATCACAACTGCTATGCATGGTAACTGGCTTTGCATTTCAGTAGCTCCAGGTTTAGTGTAAGTGATACTTGCTTTTAACAACTGCAGAAAATCAATTTTGAAATTGGATTCCAAGTAAAATTCTGTGTAGCTGTATGTTAATGATCCACATATTCATTGAAAGGAAGTGTTTGAGACAAATAAGTAGTCTATGGTATTTACTTTGGAGTAAAGCTCTACCTTAGAGAACCAAGGAAGTCCTGGTTATAAAGCATATTCCAAAATGATTATAATACTAAAACATAGAGTGAGGACATAAGTGGAAGATGATTGTACTGGAATTAGATTATTTGGGTTGAGTTTGGTTCCTCTAATTGTGGCCTTATGCAAGCCACTTAATTTCATAACCCTCAGTTTCTTTGAGTTTAAAATGGAAATAATAATTTGCCTGCCATTTGAGTAGCTGTAAAGGTATGATGCATGGGAGAGCTTTTCATGAAAGGTAAAGTACTACTTAATGTTAAAAAAAGATTATCATCATTATTACTTTATCCCCTCCTCCCAGGAGACATTAAGTTTCTTTGACTGTATCCAACCTCTGAATAATAAGCTCTCAACGTGTTTCCTTCCTCCATGGAATTCAAATACTGAGGCAATGTGATACTCCTTAGGTTTCCCTTGAACTGCCTTCATAAAATGAACATTTTTTCCCTGAGTTCTTAAGGATAATTTTAAGAGTAAAAGAAAATCTCTCACCTAATTGCTCTTTCTTCTGCCAAACAAACTATAGTAGGACTTCATCTCTTCTAGGAGTTTCTCAGTTCACTTTAAGGCATCTTCATAAAATGTGTGAGGAAGGACACCAAGAGTTAGGGTAATCAGAGAAAAAAACAAAGATAACACAAAACATCCTCCCGTGGAACAAAGCAGGACTCCTCTATGCTTCCTCCCAAGAGAAAAAAACAAAAATCAGAGGAATGGGGATGAGAGGGAAAGACTGGGGACATGGAGGTGTCAGTGTGGATTGGAAGGCAAGCAACAGGGAAAAATCAAGCATAACTTTGGTTCTGGAAGTGTGAGCCCATGCCAGCTGCATGCAAGTTCTCTGGTCCAACCCAGATCTGCATCAGAACTTCTGGGAATGGGGCCCAGAATATGTTTTAATGAGCCCTGCTTCACAAGTTCAGAATCACTTCCCTAGATGGTCTATAGGTGATCAGGAGGATGGCATCTGGATGCTTTTGTTACACAGCATTGCTCTCTAAAATACCACTCATAAGAATCCATGTGTTTGGAAAAAGTAACATGGAGTTATGGATAGCAGCTTGACTTCATTATGGAAGCAAGTATCTCTCATATAAGAGGTGAGCTAAGTTTCTCAAACTGCCCAAGTACCGTGGCACAAGTACTCCTTCTGTCACGTAACAGGCTGACCTATTTTTCCATTATGTGGGTGTCTTTACACCTTCCCATTAGAATGTAAACTCTGTGAGAACAGAAACAACTTTATATATAATTATATATCTGTAAAAGATAAAAAGTGTAATATGCTAATTAGACCGGACGTCCTTCCAGACGAGGCCAGGGTTGCTAGGGAAGCCTGGGTCCCGGGTGCCAGAGGGAAGCCGGTGCTGGCAACCAGGGGAAGGAGGGCCTACTCCTGCATGAATTTCGTGCATCAGGCCTCTAGTAGACAATAAACATTCAACAAATATTGATCAATGAATGAATCAAATTCTTCTCTGATGATGTCTAAATCACTTC